CTGAAGGGGCTACAAGAAAGATGTTTTGGGGGCTTTTTACAATGGCCTGTAGTGACAGGACAAGGGGTAACGGGTTTAAATTGAAAGCGAGGCGATATAGATTGGATATCAGGAAGAAATTCTTCACAGAGAGGGTGATGAGGCACTGGAACAGGTTGCCCAGAGAAGCTGTGGATGCCCCATCCCTGGAAGTGTTCAAGGCCAGGCTGGATGAGGCTTTGAGCAACCTGGTCTAGTGCAAGGTGTCCCTGCCCATGGCAGGGGGGTTGGAACTAGATGGTCTTTAAGGTCCCTTCCAACCCAAACCGTTCTATGATTCTATGAATAACTCTGGTGCAGCTGCTCATTGCTTTAGCCATGGCTGAGATAATTAATGGAGTTCAGGAGGAGTATGTCCTTTTAGTTTGTCCATGGGTAATACAGACCCTGTGATTAGGTGGCCGTGGCCTATGTGCAGTCTGTGGGAAAACCTTTCCTTTTTAACCTGAACAGCAAATAATGATTCATTTTCTCTTCCAATGAGAAATTGGTTTAGGAGCTGTTGTGTGTGTAGGAACAGTAAAAGACAGAAATAAATGGGTTCCTGAGAGATTGTTAGTTAAAGCTTCACAGCTCGTCAGATGGCCCAGTTATAAGGGAAGCCTTCATGCCATCATCTCTTCCGAAGGTGTTCTGTGGGAAGACCTTTACAGAGCTTCTGAAACTAACATTGCCAAACTTGCCAGCACCTGGGCTTAATTCCAACATGTAAAAGGCTAAGAAGATGTGTTTGGATACTTTTTAGTATTGGAAGCCCACAGATTTTCAAAATTCTTGCTAGGCAGTTTAAAATTGAACAAAGCCATTCCTAGGGCCAAAAATTTCAGTACAAAAGGAGAGTTTTTTTCTCCTTTGCTATATTTTTTTTTCTTTAGAAGTAAGATGAAAGCTGGTGCTGGAGATAAAAGTCAGTATTATCATAACCTCATCTGCAAAGCCACAATAGTGGCTTTTTAATAGGGTGTGACATACTTCTGTAATGTCATACATGCAAACTAATTAGAGAAAAAACATTTTCACAGCCTGTTCTAATCTATTGGATTAGATGAAAGTAAAGATTTTAATTTTTGCAGTGTATGGTTAGGTAAATGAGCAATTAATTTGTGCTTACTTACCACCATAATAAAATGCTACAACGCTTTTGGGATGTGGACCTGTCGTTTTATCTCTGAATCTGCTTCAGTTGTGGGTTTTTATTTGTTTGTTTGTTTCATTTGTTTATTTGTGTTCCTCCCCCTTTAGGAAGGCAGAATTAGATGAGGTAATTCAAAGCTCTGGAAAACTGAGTTTGAACACCTGAATCACTTTGGAGTAGGTCGCATTCACTCAGATGTTCTAAAGAAATTCAGAATTGAAATAGATGAATTATTAGTTATAGTATGTAATCTGACACTTAAAACTGCCTCAGAAATTGTGACTGATTTGACTAGTATCCGCTTTTAAAAAATATTACTGGATGAGATGACAGACCAACAGAACTTATATGTGTATAGGACATGCTAGTTGAAGTCTTGAGAAATACGAAGGAATACAGTATGTTAAGGAAGAGTTATCTCAGCTTTGAAAAAATGCATTATAGTTATTGTGATCAACAGAGTGAGGATATGTATTAATATGTATTATCACTTAAAAGATCTTATTCCTTCTTCTTTCCTCTCTTTCACTTTAATGTGATCATGTCTCCCTCATTTTGTTTTGCTGTGTTAAATACAGCTCTTTTACCTGTTCCTTGTAAAAAAGTCCCTCTCTTTGCTTAAAAGGCAGAAGTACTTTTTCTCGCCTCTTAAACACATTTTCTGTGAACGCAGCTGAGCTAATATTAAACACAGGACTTCTCGTGAGGGAGGCCTTGGGAGCATCTGGGTGCTCTTACACCTTCTGTAATCTGGTGCAGGTAGGGTGCCAGTGGATGAGTGTGGGTAGACTGCGTCCCAGCCCAAGTGGGTAACTGAGTACAGCACTGTGCTGTATGAGCCCTTTTGCTCCAGTCCCGGATAGCTGAAGGACATGTGGTGCTGCTTTCTACCTCCACAGGTGAGCACAGCCATGGTAGATCTGCCACATCTCTTCTGCCTGACAACCAGTCATTGATGTGGTCTACCCTGGGTAAATCCACCTAATGTCTAATTCTGTTTTCTTTGAGCATCAATTTTCATAATTATTCCTGTTTTCAGAATTTGGTGTGTGTCAGTGTTGGGTAGCTTTTTTGACCCTACAAGCCGCATACCTTCATATGCATATAATATCCATATGCATATAATGCTTCATATAATTCAGAGCCATGGGACATTAGCCACAAATGTTGAGGTGCCAAAGAGAAAACATGACCTGCTGTGGTTCCATCCTTTTGGTCTTCTGGGGTGGAAATTGTTTTATCTTCCTGCACTGATCACTTAGACTCTTAGGGGTTGCTTCTAGCTTCCAGCTGGGATAACACCTTTACGTGTCAGTCCCTAAGTTTCTGGATACAGTTCAGTGTGCAGGCTGACCTTGCTGAAGCTAGCTGTTGTAAATGTTCTCTGTTCAAGAGAGGTTTCAAGGAGGATTGTTCAGAATTTTAATGTTTTGAGTTTTTGGGCTTTTCATTCTGTAAATTGCCTTTTCTTTTTTCTTTAAATATTTAGACATCAACAGGCTTGCAGTTCCTTATTTTTTACCTTGATCTTTTGATTCAACTGTGTTTGTTTGCAGATGTTCACAATTTGAAACAACATTGTAATTAGGTAAGCTCCCTGCTACTGGCAAACTACCTTTGCAGTGCGTTTCTGAAAGGAAAAATACACACTGCTGAAAACTGTAATTGAAATAAACCACTCTCTATTCTTTGCTGTAATTACCACAGAGTAATTCTGAGCACAGGTGGGAATTTTCTATTAATAGGAATTGTTTAGAATACAAAAGGGAAAATGGCAAGGAATCTTGCCAACATTTGTTCCCAAGAGGGTTCTACAATTACTTTAGAAAGGGGTAGTAACAAATAATTTCTTAAATGACAGGATTTGTTTTGGTTTGTTTTAATCTACTTCTTTGCATGTTTGCCTTTTTGAAGCTATTTAAAAATTCTAGTATTTTTAGTATCATAGGTTTATATTTTATTTCCAAGAGTGCCTCCCAAACCCCTTTTTTGTCCATCCTCACTGGTGATCTACATAAATAGTCCCAGATTTACTACTTGATTGGCATGCATTCCATTATTACAAATGACTTCCTATGCTGCACATAGACCCTGAGAGACCCCTGAGAGGTCACCATATTCACAGCCACTTCGGGAACGATTCTTCAACTCCAAGGTACGCAATCTTAGCTCATATCAGTCCACTTGCTGAACCTCTGCTAAACAACTGAAACTTTCAGAGAAATTCAGTCACTGTCTATAAATACTCCATCCTCTGGCATAATTTTGTGTCTTGTGTGAAGTAATATCCTTTCCTAGTTTTTCCTGTCATTTAGATAATAACCTGAGGAATGAAGACTTGGTTTTGCTATACTTTTCATTGGTTTCACTGCCAATTTTATTCTTGTATATGAATGTGTAAGCACTCTTAGTATTGATATTGTGGGGAAAGGAAAGAGGTTCACAAGCTGACTGAATGAGAGAGGATGTTTTCTTTATGTTTAGATGGGTTATTTTTCTATCATTTTCTATCATCATTTGCTTTTGCGTCATGGGTCAGGATAGACAGTTCTGTCTGCTCTCCCCTCTTAGGTCAATATTTTATGTACAACTGATATAGATATATATGTACTGGCTATTTTTTCTTGTTTTCAAACTGAGTCTTGATTCATGAGAAGATAAAGGGAAAATAACTTCTAAAAGCTCTAGGATTGAAAGGAAAGGATCATGGGTGTCAGGGGATGAATGAGAACCATGGTGAAAGGCCAGAGATCTGAGGATGTGC